TAACCTCTATATAGACCTATCTACCCTCTTTTAGAACCTAAGTTATAAGCCCTTCGAGAATATATCGAAAAGAACCTTATATAAGAATAGATTAGACCTAGTATATCCCTAGCTAGAGCTCTAATCCTCTTTATAAAGAAGAAGGATAGAAGCCTCTATCTATATATCGACTACCGTGGCCTAAATAATATTATATAAAAGAATCGTTACCTACTATCTCTTATCTCTAAGTCTATTAATAGACTAGAACGTATAAAGATCTTTACTAAGCTCGATCTACGTAATACCTACTATTACCTTCATATTAAGGAAGGCGATAAATAGAAAACGACTTTTAGGACCCGTTATAGATACTTTAAGTATACCGTAGTCCCTTTTAGACTAACTAACGCGCTAGGTACCTTCTAAGTATATATTAATAACGCGCTAGTAGGCCTACTCGACACGATATATATCGTATACCTAGATAATATCCTTATCTTCTTAGATAACGAGGAGGAGTATATCTAGTACGTACGTATAGTCCTAGATAGACTAGAAAAGTATAAGCTATATATTAAGCTATCTAAATGCGAGTTCTATTAGGACTATATTAACTTTCTTAGCTTCGTTATTACTAATTAAGGTATAACTATAGAGAGAGATAGAGTTACTACTATTATAGACTAGCCTAAACTAAAATCCGTTTAAGATATACGTGTCTTTATTAGCTTCGCTAACTACTACTAAAAATTTATTAAATACTTCTCCCGTTTAGCCGCACTACTTAATATACGTACTACTACTACTAACTCGTCTATTACGGTCTATAGTAGATAGAAATAGCGTAATATTAAATTATAATCTATTAAATTAACTAAGATCGAAAGAATATCCTTCGAGAAGATTAAAGAAGCATTTATAACCGCCCTATTACTAGTGTACTTCGACCTAACTAAACCTATTCGCGTCGAAACTAATATATTAGGATTTATAATCTCGGGTATACTCTTCTAGCCTAGACTAATAGAGTCTAAAAAGGTCTAATAGTATCTAGTTACGTTCTTCT